GTAAAAGTATAAGCATAAATTCAAAGGCAAATAGGGGTCTTATTTTAAAGAAATTTGTTTGGAAAATAAGAAATGTTTAGACACGTAATGAGAGCTCTACACAAAATTATCACTCAATAGAAGATTGATACCTCTAAGAAAACCAAACACCACATGTTCTCACTCCTAAGTGGGATCTGAACAATGAGAACACACGGACACAAGGAAGGGAACATCACACACCAGGCCCTGTCAGGGGGTGGGGGCAAGGGGAGGGAGAGTATTATGACAAATACCTAATGCATGCAGGGCCTAAAACCTAGATGATGGGTTGATAGGTACAGCAAACCACTATGGCACATGTATACCTATGTAACAAACCTGCACGTTCTGCACATGTATCCCAGAACTTAAAGTTAAAAAAAAAAAAAAAGAAGAAGAAGAAGATTAATACCTCTAAAAGTCTGAAGTTAGAAGAAACATCCTTATGAAAATAAAACAAAGACTGTTTTCCATTACCCAGCTAGGTTTGTTAATCATTATTATTATAATATCATCAACAATGACAAAAGATTTTGACATAATCTATCTCACAAATACATTGAGTGTTATATATCCACTTTACAGATTAGGAGACTGAGAATTGAAATGTTGTGCCCAGGATCCCACAGCTAATAAATAATCAAGCTCTCAATTATCCACAGTGGCAAGGATTTTTAAAAGGAAATTCTGCTTAAATTACTTTTAAAATACGTAAGAATTGCTTGGCATTAAATCCATAAAGAATAGAAACAGAAAGACAATGTTTATTTGCTTTGCTTCTCAAATTTAAAGGCAACATCTAAAGATTACTTCCTGATTCTGGACATTCCAGTAATTTTCCCCAACCTTCTCAACTTTTTTTTTTTTTTTTTTTTTTTTTGAGACACAGTCTCGCTCTGTCGCCAGGCTGGAGTACAGTGGCACAATCTCTGCTCACTGCAATCTCTGCCGCCCAGGTTCATGCCATTCTCCTGCCTCAGCCTCCTGAGTAACTGGGACTACAGGCGCCCGCCACCATGCCCAGCTAATTTTTTGTATTTTTGTGTGTGTGTGTGGAGATGGGGTTTCACCGTGTTAGCCAGGATGGTCTCGATCTCCTGACCTCGTGATCTGCCTGCGTCGGCCTCCCAAAGTACTGGGATTACAGGCACGAGCAACGGCGCCCAGCCTCTCAACCTTTTTTAATTGTAAATTTCATTATGAATGTCTGTATATATATATATGAATATATGCACAGTATGATCTTTTCCAAATCATGTAAACACAATATTTCAATTCTTAAAACTACTTCCAAAGATCACCCAAGCAATGATTATGCATTTTTATTGACATGATACCTTTCAGTCACTTAAGATATCAATTTCTCTCTCGAATTATAGATTTCATAAGAGTAATCTACTTCTTCCATGTCCTTTCTAACTCCTTACTACAATTTTTTCTGCACCCAGGAGGTCCCTTACAAACGCAGAAGACAATCTCAGTCTTCTCCTTAGATTAGGGTTTCTCAACTAACATTTTGAGCTGGACAATTCTTCATTGCAGGAAGTTGTCCTCTGCATTGTAGAATGTTTAGTACTCCGGGGGCTATCTGCTACATGCCAATAGCACACCTCTTCCCTCAGTGTGACAACCAAAAATGTCTCAGACACTGTCAAATATCCCCTGGGTACAAAGTCACCTCCCATTGAAAATCACTGCTTTAGGCTAGTTAGATATTCCAGTTAAGATGTATCAAAGTAGTTTATCAATTGATTCCAAAGAATAGTAAGATCAGGTATGTGAAATATTTACAAGATGAATTCTTCTTCCCTTTCTCAAGACTTGAAAATTCAACAACAGAAACAACAAAAAACTCTGTGAACTGTAAACCTTATCTGCTAAAGCAAATAGTTGTCAAACAAGATTATATACAATTTTCAATTTTTTGTAAAACTTGTCAACATCATGGATATCATATCAGCTATTTTATTAAATTAATATTCCCATTTGTATACCCAAAAAAGTTGAAGACAAATTTCTTTAGCAATATTTTGAAAGAACAGGAAAAATCAACTCAGATATCTTGCCTTCCAATTTTATTGAGAAATTAGGGTTATCAACAACAGATTGTGCAATAACGATAAAAGCTCGTGACTTCTAGTTTTCTCTAAGCAACCACAAAAATAAAAGGCAGTAAAACTTTATAGAGGCAGAGTTGTGAGCTGATAAAGCTAGGAGAATCCCTGAGGATGCTCACTGGACACAACATGCGAAAGAAATGGGTTTATTTGCTCAAGCCTATTCTAAAGTTAATGTTGGCCACTGGCAGAATACTTTATTCTAAAAATTTTTAAATGAGATGAAAGAAAGTCTCCTTTTCTAGATTTCACCAAAAAAAAAAGACAAAAGAGGAAATAATATAAAATTACAACATTTTTAATTTCAGTTGTGAAAAACTTCAAAATCTTCATGCAGTATACTCCTCAATGTCATTGTAAAACCATTATTAGAAGAACAGGATATTGGCATCACCTTAAAGATGTTACCTACTCCAACCTCCAATTTTAAAGATAAAGGAGAATAACATTTGATGGCAAAGGAACCTTTGACCATATCCATACATTTTATCTTCTGAAAAAGAAAATGTCTAAAGTAAATATGCCATAATATAATATTAAAATATGAGTAATTACATGAAAATATTATATTATTTAAACTTTTATTTAAAATATTATTTAAAATATATTTAAAATATTATTATATTTAAACTTTTCAGAATTTAAAATATTTTTTCTATAAAAGTTTAAATTAAGATGAAGAAACTAAGGCCCAATAAGGTAAGTGGCTTGTCCAACACAGCACACCATTCACTAGGCCTATTCAGATTTCAGATTTGCTACTCCAGTGCATTTTCGAATTTCAAATGTTTACAAACTATAAGGAATTACTGGAAATGATATTGCCAGTATTCTGAAGAAACACTTCATTTCTGCAGAAGGTGCTGGTCATTTAATTCCTTAAATCTCTTTCTTTACTTCCCTTTCTTTTACATTGCATTGAGTGTGGTGGGGGGATGTAAACAAAGTATGTACAGTAGGCCCTCTATATTCACGGATTGAACCAACTACAGACCAACTGCAGATCAAAAATATTTGGGAAAAAAATAAAAAATATCAATTCGGCAATAAAAATAATGCAAATTAAAAAACAACAGAACAACTATTTACATAGCATTTACTTGTATTGGGTATTATAAGTAATCCAGAGATGACCTAAAGTATACAGAAGGATGTGCATAGGGTACATACAAATACTAGGCCATTTTATTTAAGGGACTTGAGCAACCTCCGATTTTGGTATGGTCAGGGGTACTGAAACCAATCCCCCATAGATACCAAGGGACTATTGTATTGTTGGGCAAACCACAGTGAACCAATCAAATGATCAGCCACCTATTAAAAACAGGCTCTTGGCCAGGCACTACAGGTCACACTTGTAATCCTAGCACTTCGGGAGGCTGAGGCAGGAGAATCACTTGAGCCCAGGAGTTGCAGGCTGCAGTGAGCTATGATCTTGCCACTGCACTCCAGCCTTGGCAACAGAGCAAGACCCTGTCTCAAAAAGACAACCAAAAAAAAAAAAAAACAGGCTCTTCCGCAATTCAGGGTATCACTCACGGTTCTATAAACAGCAATGCCCACTATATGTTCCATATATGTAATTATAAATTTTAGAAGCCAGGTTTAAAAAGAAAAAAAGTAAAACTAAAAAACACAGGAAATACATTTTAATATTATATTTAATTTAACTCAATATATTCAAATATTATTTCAACACATAAGCAACATAAAAATTAGAGGTATTATATTTTTTCTCCTACTTCTTTAGGAGTAATACTTATTCAAAACGATGTTTTAATTCACGCTAACAGCACGTTTCAATTAGCACTAACCTCATATCACGTGCTCAACAGCTACAGTGGCTAGTGGTTACCCTAGTGGACAGGGGAAGTCTATAGCTCTTTGTTGCTGCTTGAATTAAAAGCAGATCCATACGTTTGAGTCGTTTTTTGAATCTTCCTCCAAAGCTGACAAACTTCCCACATCTTTTGTGGAGTGAGAAAGTCCCAAAGTTCTCAAAGCTTAACACGTAATTCATGCAAACGATTAAGCTTGTTGAAGAGTGCATGTTTAAGTACACTATTTATTGAATACTTCTATACACTTAATCTCCAGGATAAAAACTTTGGCATAAATTCCTGGGCATACAACCAAGCAGACACCTAATTAATGACGATGCTAGTCGAGGCTTGAATTTCTCTCTATTGCTCCAAAACAAAATTCAAAATCCTCTTCGTATTGACGGAAAAGTAAATATTAAAGGAAGGAATAATTTTCACAGGAGCTGAAAGCATTGTGAGTAAGAATCCCTAAGCACACGCCTTTCTTAAAGATCTGCCTATTCCTCTCCAAACCCGGTAATCCTAAAGAGAAGGAACCCGGTTGCTGCTCCCTGTAAAATGATAGTGAAGATAACTGCGAAATGCAATTTCCTTCTTCTTTTTCCTTAGTACCACTTCGAGCGTATATGACCAGACAACCATGCTCACTCCACGCGCTACCGAAACAGAAAGGGCTGTCTTTATGCTGTAGGGCCAAACGGGCCACGCTGAGTGCAGCGAGAGGACCACAGAGACGGGCAGGGCGGGGACAGCAGGCGCAGGGCAGGCACAGCAGGGCCAGGGCTTGGCCTCGGAGGACTAGAAAGGTGGGAACTTTGGCAGCGCCGGCGGGATCCCACCGCATCTCCCCAGCCGGGGTCGGGACTGGGACCCCGAGAATCCGCGGGCGGCAGAGGCTCCCAAGTAGAGCACCTGCCGCACCGGGAATGGGGAGTCTCGGGCGGCGGAGGGAGCAGGGCCCGGGCAGGATCCCGGACGGAGCAGCCCTCGGCTGGGCCCTCAGCGCCCGCAGCCCGCCGGCCGCGCCCCTCTCGCTTACCGCCCCAGATGCCCAGCTTCAGCTGGGACTTGTTCAGGTTCTCCACATAGTCCCCCAGGAAGCGGTTCAGCAAGTCCGCGACCACCGACTCCAGCACCATGGTGGGGCTGAGGCAGCTTGGGAGGGAGGAGCCGGAACCACCCGGCCGCAGCTAAGGGCGGCGACCAGCGCTACGAATGACAGCCCCTCCGGCGCCGGCCCACCCCCGCGCCGCGCGCGTGACCCCGCCTGTGCGCAGGCGCGCCGTCGCCCGGCCGGTAGCTGCGGAGGCCCTGTGGTGATCCCGAGGCCTTGTGGGCTTCGCAGCCCCGGCCGTCTGGGTGCCGAAGGAGGCGCGCAGGGGAAGTTAGCTTGAGCCTGTCTCGGCAGCCGTGCACGAGAGAAAAAGGACCTTCGAGATGAACAAGGGAGGGCAAGAGTTACCAAGCACAGGGTCATCTATGTGGCCGCTCTGCTTTCCCGCCTCCCGGCTCTGTCCGGAGCCGCCGGGCCGGGAGTGTGCGCTGAGCGTCACCTAGGCAACCACCCTTGCACCTCTGGATCAGGTGGAGGAAAAGGACCGACTGCGTTCTTGTCCTCCTAGAGTTCGACTCCGCCTGGGGCTTGGTCTCTGCTTCTTGAAAACACACAGTTTTTTTGTTTTGTTTTTTCGAGACAGGGTCTCGCTCTGTTGCCAAGGGTGGAATGCAGTGGCGGAATCATAGCTCACTACAGACTTGACATCCTGAACTCAAGGGATCCTCCTGTCTCAGCCTCCTGAGTAGCTGGGACCACTGGCGCGCGACAAATAAAAGTGGGAGGAAGGGAACAGAACCACATCAAATGGCAGATATCATAGAATGAGAACTGAATATACGCGTTTTGTGGGAAACTCATTCTTTTCTCTTTCTCTAAGATTCGCTTTTAATTCACTAGCCACTGACTAGTTACCTATCTCATTACAGAAATAAAAAACAAAACGTAGTAGTGCCTTTTTAAGTATGAGTTACTTGTTATTTATGTGTCACTTTCTTCCATGCTATCGTTGAACTGTCTTTGATATAGCACGACCTTAAAAGCAGAGCTTTTATACCACAAGGTCTTTCAACCCTTGTGAAATTTAACCACCCATTGACACCTCTTTAGAGAACTGGACATTTTTTCCTAAAATACACTTCCAGAAGTTGTTGAGATGCAGTAAACAGAAAGAAACCTAAGAAATGCTGACTATTTGTAGTCACAAGCATTTATTAAGTGTTTTGCGACGAGGAAGTGTCTGAGAAAATACTCGTGTATTTTTCTTTAACAACCTAGGCTTGCACAGGATCACAAAGAAAAATCTTAAGTTGAAGGTCCACTGGAGAAGAAAGAAAATCAAAATGGCTACAATTGGTGTTGTGTATTAAATAAAATTTAAGGTACAAAGAAAGACGCAGTCAGTTCTAACCAGCAAGATCACTTTCCTCTCCCACTCCTGCACACTGCAGTCTTCTTTAAGAAGATAAATCTTTAACCGTTTGTTTTTCCTGCTGGTCACACAGACAAAATACTAGTAAGCACTTTGGATTTCTTCACCATCCACAACCAAATAACAGCCCAACCTGTCTATTCTGCTTTCTCCATCCTTCCTAAATTCTCCATGTTTTTCTTCCGGACCACGCCATCTCCTTGAAACTCACTTCCTAGCCGCCAGTTATTCCTTCCTCCAATCTATTCTCATGAACACCAGACTTGGTTTCCCAAAGCATGGGTGAGCTTAAGTGGGTCACCTGCTCAAAAACATCCAATAACTTCCCAGTGTTTAGAACACTGTCTTCAAACTTTCTCCAGATTCTTTCTCGTCATACACCCTAACAATCCCGCTTCCTTTTTACATTCACACTGACTATGCACCAAGAGGAATGTAAAGAAGCAATATATGTTCTGGTTGACGTAAGGCATGTACCATACAAAGTTAAAGAAACCAATCCAAGGATGTATGAATAACAGTATAAGATGATAGGAAAGATGGCACAGGCAACATAGCTTGGTCAAGCAGGTGGAATAATAGGCACAATCTTTTGGGAAAAGTGAGGAACACTAATGCTTTGTCTAATAAAGTAATTCCTTACAGTTCTATGGTATGACTTTATAATTTTGAAAAAATAATGTGTAAATGTGCTTTCATATGCATCATTAAATTTTATTATGTTTCATTTATACTTATTTATACTTCGTAAGGCGTCATGTCATCATGCGAAGGTAGGCATTTTCGTGTAATCCTCACAAAAGATCTGTGAGGTAAATAACGCAGGTAGTATGGTCCTCATTTTATAGAAAAATTAAGCTCGGGAATGTTAAGTAACTTACCCAGAATCACACAGCAGATATTAATTTCCTTTGCTTCCCTGAGCACTGCCACCCTTTTCTCTTCCAGTAATTATACAATTTAATCAACACTGGGCTATTAGTCATTCTCAGAGATCTTACTTTGAAAGGTTCATGGCAGAAAAAATAAATCTCAGGGTGGAAAATTTGGCTCTAAATTTTTGGTACAAAAAAAAATGCTAGTACCATATAGTATAAAAAGCTTTAAATTTTACCATTTTCCATTTTCAGCATGTTTTAAGGAATTGATTATGTGCATTCAGTAATGCCCCAAATCTTCCATTATTTAACAAGTCAGAAATGTACAGTCCCAATTTAAAACAAACTATAACCAATGTCAAGAAACACCATTAGCACCCTTATGTATGGCATTATATCAGAAACAATTTGGATACAGAGGTTAAAGAAAATGAGCATTCTAATTAATTCTAGTTCTTGCCTTCATTCTGGCTTAAGAACAATGAGAATGACAACAAAGGAAATTACAAAACTAAACTTCAATGAGAGACTAAACAAAAACAGATGAGCAAAATATTATTTCTGTTAAAAATATAGGTTAGGGACACTTAAAAATTAACTGAAAAATGTTTAAAAAAAAAAAAAAAAAACTTCACACTAACCACCACCCATACCCTATTCCCCAACCCTAGAGTTTTTGGAGAAAAACACAAAGAATCTGGGGGAAAGGAAATGGAGGAGAAAGCTGGAGTATAAGCCATGACACCATGGACTGCAGGAAAAGTTAGGGAGGTTAACTAGAAGAAAGCACGGGAGTGGATTGTAGAATGTTAGTGCCAGAGGGAGGATCATCCTGTTAATCCAACCCCCTCAATTGACAGATGGAGACACTGAGTGCCAGGGAGAATTAAGGGTTTGCCCAAAGTCCCACAGGTTAGTGACTATCAGAGCAAAAAGCCAAACCCAAGTGTCCTGACTCCCTGCTCTGTATTCTTTCCAGTACTCCATACTCTAGTTGTGTTGAACAAGGTGCATAAGTCAGAACACTGGTATTTTATTGGTTGTAATCTCTCTTCTTGCTTTCCTTGACACTCAACCTCCTATATTTTGTGAAATGTTTAATTTCCTTTTACTCTTAGAGCACCTCTGTTCTCAATGGTATATGATCTATTTATGCTCACTTTACAGAATTGTTTTCCAGCTCCAATAGCTACAGCTGGGAGCTTGGAACAGCGACTGTCTTCCTCTGAGTAGATTTGTGTGTTTCGGGCACCCTGTTACACCATCCTCCCAAGTACTGGGTGGTTGGCTTATGCTTCCGAGTTAAGTAAAACATAAGGCTTAACAGGGTCACAGGGACCAGCCACACAATGGCAAATCTCTGCTATTTTCAAGAAATCATGTACAGGAAATGCTATTAAGGTGTTACTAAAGAAGGTGAATCATTAATAAAAACAAAGTAAATCTGCTTTGCTTGCCTGAGGAGAAAAATGTTTCTAAAGGAATCCATGTGTGGATCACCTAATCCCTGGCCAAGCAAACATTCATAATAAAATAATGATAGTAATAATAATAGCTGTTAGCCAGCGCTTAACTGCCAGCCAAGCATTTTCATGCATATATTTTTAACCCCCATAACAATCTTATGTGGTCGGTATTACTACCCTCATTTTATAACTTGAGCTCAAACAGGTTCATTAACTTGCTGAACAACTTTTCAGCCAACTTCTCAGACTGTAAACTCTGATATGTGCTCCTAATCACTTTAAACAGGGGCTCTCAACAGGGCTAACAACACCTTGTCTCACGAGAAAAGCTGAGTCAGAACACATGCACATGGCCCTCAAGTATATAATTTGGTAAAACTTTTCCCATAGATTTAGCCCTGGCCCAAGAATTTTGGCAAAGAGTAGCGGTGATTTTAAGACAAAGAAGTAGGCTGGGCTTAGTGGCTCACACCAGCCTGAGCAACATGGCAAAATCCCATGTCTATAAAAAATACAAGAATTAGCCAGGTGGTGGTGCATGCCTGTAGTCCCAGCTACTCAGGAGGGTGACATGGGACAATCACCTGAGCCTGGGAAGTTGAGGTTGAAGTGCCCATGATTGTGCCACTGCACTCCAGCCTGGGCATCAGAGTGAGCCCCCGTCTCAAAAGGAAAAAAAAAAATGGCATAGCTAGTCAAGGGCACAGTAAATCCAGAGAACCATTAATCCTGCCTCCTACTAGAAACATATAAGTAATGTTCAGGCCAGGTACGGTGGCTCACACCCATAATCCTGGCAATTTGGGAGGCTGAGGTGGGCAGATCACTTTGATCCCAGGAGTTCAAGACCAGCCTGGTCAACATGTTGAAACTCCATCTCTCCGAAAAAAAAAAAAAAGTTAGTCAGGTGTGGTGGCTCATGCCTGTAGTCTCAGCTACTTGGGAGGGTGAGGTTGGAGGACTGCTTGAGCCTAGAAAGCAGAGGTTGCAGTGAGCCAAGACTGTACCACTGCACTCCAGCCTGGGCAAGAGAGTGAGACCCTGTCTTAAAAATAAATAAATAAATAAAGTTCAGTAGTCTCTTCTCACGCCTGCCTCTCCCAGATGGAATTCAAATAGTTTATCCTCATCATTTTGTTCCATCATGTATAGATTTACATAGCTGATAATGATCTTTTACGGACAACCTGTATCTACTTGCCTAGTATGGTGGCTGGAATCCAGAAAACATTCAGTACATATTGCTTTGAATGAATGAACTAATGAGCATTTGCTGTCTTCTGTAATAATAATATTATATCTGACATTGTGTATGTCAGGCCCTATGCTAAACTCTTCATATTCATTATCTTTATACTCATGATAACCCTGTAGGTTGACACTATTATGAATTTTAAATTTGATACTGTGGCTTAGAAAGGTTAAGTAACTTGCTCAAGGTCACATAGCCACCATTCTGGCATTAACAGTAGATCTGATTTCAGGTCCAATTTTCTTAACCACTATACTTTACAACTTTCCTTCTATCTTTATTAATAATAATCAGTTCTATGTATTTAGCACTTACCATGTTACAGGCATGGTGCAAAGTATTTTACTTTATTATATTAATTCCCCAAACAGCTCATTTATACCCAGTAGTAGGTATTATTTCCTCCATTTCCCATCATTATGTGACTTGGATAAGGTACTTGACCTCTGAGACTCAGTTTTCATCTATAAAAGAAGAATGATCTGAATATGCAGGGTTTCTGTGACAGTTCTACAGACTATATGTAAATCATCTAGCACAGTGCTTGTGTGTCCTGGAAACAAAATGCACATGCCCTATCCTGAAATCACTTTTGCATGAATTCAATTTAATTCATTAAACATTATTTAGATAAGTGAATAATCTGCAAGGCAGTATCTTAGGCAGAAACATCTGCCTGAACGCTGAACAAAATGCCTCAGATCTCTTTCAGCCTGAGCTAACTAGAAGCAATTCTCTTACAAAATGAACACAGGTTAGTTTTCAAAAGGAAGGAAAAGGGTCTCTCTGGTGGGCATGGCCTAGAAAGGCCAGATGTGGTTATCTCCAAAGGATGATTCCAACTGCCCAGATGCATGCAAGTGTACATTTTCCCAATAAAAAATCAGCACACATGGCTTAAGAAGTAGGTTGTGATTTTTTTAAATTGATATATAACGTACACACAATAAAGTGCTCTAATCTTAAGTGTACACTAGTTGATTTTTTTTACATATGGATACACCTCTGTAACTCCACCCCGATCAAGACATGAAATGTTCCCCCTAACCCAGAGTGGTTTATAATCAGAAAAGAACATCTAAAATCAGAATTGACAACCGGAAAGCAAGTAAAGAACTTAGAAAGCTGGACAACTGGGAAGCTGGATTTGGGGAAGGGTATTAGGCAAGAATAAGACAAACCGGTCTTGTCTTCATTTTAATGGTGAATGTAGAGTACTTCTACGTGTTCACATTCATTACGCCCGTCGATCCTCACAATGACTGTGCGGTATAGTAGAGACTTAATACCATTTTGCATGTGAGGAAACAGAAACTTGTTCCGGGTTTCCGAGGAAAACACCTCCACCTGAAGCCGGAGAGAGAAAGAACTGGGTCTCCAGGCCTTGCTCAGCAAATCCAGCCACGTGGCAGAGGGAAAGGGGAGGACCTGGCGTCAGGTTACCAGGCAGCGCCCCTCTGCTCGGCCCACTGGCACGCGCTCCCGGCAACAAGTATAAAAGCTCAGGCCGGCTGTCCTTGAACACTGGTGCTGAACCCTGCCGCGCGCGCTTTGAATTTCCCAACGGCTAAGCGCCTCTCCTGGTCGGTGTCCCAGGCAGGAAGGTGCAGAGACCCATCTGACGCAGGACTTCAGGTATTTCAGGAGGGACCCATCGGCTTTCTTAATTCCCCGGGGGAATTCGTCTGAGGCTCTTTGCCTCTGCAAGGGGAGAACAAGCCACAGTTTCCCGGAAGGAATAACAATTATTTTAATTCTAGCTGAGGACTAGACAGCTATAGTTCAGAGTCAGGAAACGATTGCAAGGCAATCGTTGGCACAGAGAGCAGAGCGACTGAAGTTACAATCCAGTATTTTGTGAATCTCTGCCTTAGGCCAGCGAGGGCGGATAGAGATTAAAACAAGCTCCAAAGTGTGTATTACAACGGAGTTGAGATAGGACAAGAGAAAAACAATTGTTTTTCGCTCACTGAAAAATAGTTTGCAACAGCAGCATGCAGAGCAGTTTGACCTGTTTCGGGAAAGGCAGGAAGAAACACCCCGAAAGTATTAATAGAAGAAAAGGGACAGGAATTACTGCACCCCGAGGGGCTCGCTCTGACGATCGTTGTGCCTTTGTGCGTTGCAGGCAGACAAGCTCCAGCAGAGTGTGGCCAGATGTGGTGCCTGGAGCGACTCCGCTTCGGTCCTGAGTGCCTTTGGCGGAGTGGAGACTGGCTTCTCCCGGGTCGGGCGCGCAAAGCCAAGTCTCGTACCACCGCCGCGTGCGCAAACGTGCTCACTCCGGACCGCATCCCCGAGTTCTGCATCCCACCGCGGCTCGTGCCCCGCCTGGCCTTGGCTGCATTCCGGAATTCCTGGGTCGAAGAAGCAGAGACGGACGAGGGCGCCGGCCGCACGGACTGGGACCCGCGCTCGCAGGCCGCGTTGTCGCTGCCGCATCTGCCCCGTGTACGCACCGCCTACGGCTTCTGCGTGCTGCTCGAGAGCCCGCACACTCGCCGCAAGGAGTCGCTCCTGCTTGGGGACGCGCCCGCGCCCCGACCCCGGGCCCACACCTACGGCATCGGCGGCGGCGGCGGCCCGGACGCCCTCCTGGGGACCCTGCGCTACCCGCGAGCTCAGGGCCCGGCCACCCCCGCGGCCCCCGGCGGTCCCCGTCCGCCCCAAGACGCGGTCGCCCCGCGGCCCCGCGGCTGCCGCCTCTTGCGTGTCCCCGACGGGCTGCTGAGCCGCGCGCTGCGGGCCGGGAGGAGTCGCCGCCTGGCCCGCGTCCGCTCCGTCTCCAGCGGGAAGGAGGACGAGGAGCGCCGCGCGGGCTCCCAGTTCCAGGCCCGGGCCCCCTCCGCAAGCCCGCCGTTGTGCCGGGTCCCGTTTCCCGAGCGCCTAGGGGCCGAGGGCACCGTGGCTCTGGGACGCGCCGGCGACGCCCTGCGCCTGGCCGCTGAGTACTGTCCGGGAACCGGGCGCCTCCGTCTCCGGCTGCTCCGCGCCGAGGGCCTGGCGGGAGGCGCCCCCGGGCCCCGCGCCGTTCGCTGCCTCCTCAGCCTCGTCCTGCGGCCGCCGGGCACCGCGCGTCAGCAATGCAGCATTGTGGTGGGGCGCAGCCGCAAGGCCTCCTTTGACCAGGACTTCTGCTTCGACGGCCTCTCGGAGGACGAGGTGCGCCGCCTGGCTGTTCGCGTCAAGGCCTGGGACGAGGGCCGCCTGCTGGGCCAGGGTGAGCTGTCCCTGGGCGCCCTCCTGCTGCTCTGAGGGCCCAGCCGTCCCCGGGGCGCTCTGCCAGGGGACTCCGGACACTGACAGCCGCGTGGTACAAAATAAACGTGTATTTGTTCTTCTCATCAGGCCTGTTTCAGTCCAACACTGGCAGAGATGATTATAGATTAACTATCCCAGTAAAAGATATGATATTTTCCATAGATGTCTCCAGAATTCTTTTCAGCAAATGGAATGGTTCTACAGTGTTTCCCAATATAGACAGCTGTTTGCATACCATATGTACCACACACTCCTGGGAAATAATGAATCACATGAAGTGTTAGAACTAGAAAGTGTCTTGGCGATCTATTTGCCCCAATCACCTCATTTTAAAATTGGCGCATTCCACAACATGCATCGAGACCATCTTGGAGCATTTACTTTTGAAGCATTTTGTTTAAGACCCCAGATAAGAAAATGAAGGCAATAGAGGTGAAGTGACTTGTCCAAGAGCAACAGTGAAGTATTAGTTGAAACTCCAGTCTGATACTCCTAGCTGTATCTTACTGGAAAACCACTGGAGAAAATGAAACCATTTTAATGTTCTACGCTTAAATAATAGTTATAATAGGCTAAGCGTGGCGGCTCACGCCTGTAATCCTGGCACTTTGGGAGGCCGAGGCAGGCAGATTGCTTGAGCCCAGGAGTTTGAGACCAGGCTGGGCAACATGGCAAGACTGCGTCTCCATAAAAAATAGAAAATTTAGCCGGACGAGGTGGCATGCATCTGTAGTTCCATCTGCTCTGGGACTGAGGCGCAAGGATCACCTGAGCCTGGGAGGTCAAGGCTGCAGTGAGCCGAAATAGACACTGCACTCCTACCTGGGCAACCGGAGTGAGACCCTGTCTGCAAATAATAATAATAATAAATAGTTTTACAAGTGTTAATTTGTTAATGTCAATCCCCAAAAGGAGGCACTGCTATGCCCATTTTACAGATGAGGATATTGAGGCACAAAGAGCAGAGTCAGAATTTGAACCTAGACAATCAGTATTTCACTCATTACTCCTACGTAGGTAATACCACAGTGTCTAAAGGGCTCGCTATTAAAGTTGCGAGAATTGTGCAGCTTCTCTCTGAAACTGTTGACTCTGAAGTTCGTGTCTACTTGCATTCCTCATCCTGCTTTTGGTGAAAAAGCAAATTGTTTGAAATGAGTAATTTATTATCTCATGCTAATAACTTCAGGCATTGAGATGAGCTGATGTGTCTAAGGCTCTGAGGAGGAAGCTAACTGGCCTCAGAATCACAGAAATGGGCGCCAGCCTTGTTGTAACCAGGTGAGCTAATCTGCTGGAATAGACAGTGGAGAGTATACAGATTGCATGGTTTTACATCTGGCTTCTGATAATAATTCCAGATTTAACAATCCTATTTTAGAGGATGATTTTTCCTCATCCCTTGAATTCACTGCCAGCAGGGCATTTTTTTTTCTTTTTCTTTATGCAAATAGGAAAATACATCCTAAATGAGGGTTTAAAAATTGAAAACATTGAAATATACAGGATGGAGTTAAATATGACTCCATTGTCTATCTGGATTCAGAAATGGTTTCTGCTTTATTTTATTTCATTTTGTCTTTTAGAACCAAGGCCTCACTCTGTCACCCAGGCTGGAGTGCAGTGGTGCAATCACAGCTCACTGCAGCCTCTACTTCCTGACTCAAGCTATCATCCCACCTTGGCTTCTCAAAGTGCTGAGATTATAGGTGTGAGCCACCATGCCCAGCCAGTTTCTGCTTTTGTTAAAATTGTTCACAGTTTTATCCATTCATGTTCATTAAAAATGCTATTTAGAAAAGATAAATATTATACAAAATTTGAAGAAAAAAAAGAAAAGAGTTTCTGTTTCAGTCACAAATTGGGGTTATTGTGATGTGTATTTATAATGATGACCGTTAAACAAATGTGAAGAATACTGTGAATTCTATAACTCTATCAAAATCAGCCACATCCAGAAGCTTGCAGTGGTTAACCAAATGAATGATGACATACAGTAGTTCAGATCTATCATGTGCTCTTCTATCTAATCAGTCAATATTTCCTTGGCCCTCAAGCCAACATTCATTTTTTATGTATAACCTTCTTCATTATTTTGGAATTTTGGTAGGGTAACTACTAACAATTTCACAAATGTAGCACTCTAAAAGGAAAATAAATGGAGAATGAAAACAACTTGGCTACGTATAATATCATTGTGTGTTTTAATTTTTCTGTTTTTAAAATAAAAAATTGCATTGACAGTTTAAATAGCGCAAGTTTTTATTCCAGAAGATGTTGCAATAACTATTGTCACTAGATTATATATGTGTCATTTTATTAAGTAGATTTTTTTCATGAAAGTAAATCAATGCATTTGAGGGATCTAAATTTTTTATGAAATAGTGGTGGTGATTTCCAGACAGAATCTCCATTAATGGCAAATTATGGTTGATCAAATAATCTGAGTCTCATCAAAAAGGTTTTAAAGGGGCTGAGATAGAATCATAAATTATAAAAGCATAAAATTTTAGAGTTGAAAAGAACTTTAATATTTTTGTGCCGGGCGCGATGGCTCATGCCTGTAATCCCAGCACTTTGGGAGGCCGAGGCGGGCGGATCACAAGGTCAGGAGTCTGAGACCAACCTGACCAACATAGTGAAATCCCATCTCTACTAAAAAATACAAAAAAATTAGCCAGCGTGGTGGTGCGCACCTGTAATCTCAGCTACTAAGGAGGCTGAGGCAGGAGAATCACTTGAACCTGGGAGGTGGAGGTTGCAGTGAGCCAAGATCGCACAACTGCACCCCAGCCAGGACAACAAAGCGAAAGTGTCTCAAAAAATAAATAAATAAATAAAAATTTTAAAATAATCATTTTGTGCAAATCTATATCATAGAAGTGGACCAGAGAAGCAAATTTTAGATTGCCCCAAATCACACAATCAGTAAAAAGAGCTGAGACTAGAACCAATTTGATTTTCATTTTGCTCTTAATGACTCTTCAACTACTAATTCCAGGAAAAGAGAAACACTGTACATCACTAATCTAATCTAATGTTTCTGCATTCAAGAAATCTTATTTGCAATACAAATGTTTGTGGTAACAGCCTTTCTGGGGCAAATTTAAATTTCATTTACACTTTACTGCCCTCTAGTGGGTCCCTCAAGTGTTTGGTCAATTGGCTTTACCTCTATCATTAGACCATTTCAACTAAAGGTCAATCTAATGCCAGGTCCCTATTTTCTTGAAGATCTTTGCTAGTATTAGATTGTAGTGAAGATTCACATTGCAAAGTAACTTAATACACCTATCTGAGAGCACAAGGTGCCAAACATATTTTAGATTTAAATAAAGAGAGGAAAACTTTTTCCAGTAATAATGAAGTTGGGAGTGTGTGGCAACGGCATGTTGGTTATAGAAAACTGCTTTTAAGAGTTCTCATGTTTCTTCTCATCAAGCTTTAGTACTCACATCTTCTTCATATATGATATGGCGTGATCTTGCCTTTGTGGTTTAAATATCTTTTCTTTGAACATATTAAAGAAAAGACCCACACAATAAACAGAATATGCCAGTTTAAATAGCATCAGTTGAGTAAAAATTTTAACACTGCATTGTCCACTGGTTTTACAAAGATAATGTATTCTACACCTCAAATACTAGCTTCAGTATGGCTCAGATATTCCCAGATGATAATTTCTTTGAGTCTAATTTTCTTTTATACACACCTCAACAATTCACAGACTTAGTTTAACCATGGCATATAAGAAACTGTTCTGCCTCCAGGCTTTTGAGTTCACAGATAAAGCAGATGCACGACAGCCCATGGTGTTTTCAAACCCAAGTTTTACTATTCTGTACATGCACGTAGCAAAATCCCATCAAATTAATGTCATAGCCATCATAGGCCCCTAATAAAATTCTTAGCTAAGAATTCACCGTGGCCCTACTGATTCTGTTTTCTATTACTGTAGATTAGTTCAAATTGTGTAGAATTTTATACACATGGAAAAATTAAGTATGTATTCTTTTGGGGGGAATCTGGCTCTTTTCACTCAGCATTATTGAGATATATCCATGTTGTTGCCTATATCAATAGTTCATTCTTTATATTGCTGAATGGATAGAACTGTTGAATGACTAAACCCCAATTCTTTTATCCCTTTATTTGTTTGTAACTGTTTTCCTTGCACTCATTATTTGCTTCTTTTTTCCCTTCTCTTTTTCTGATTTCTCTGGTTTTAACTGAACATTTCATAGGTTTTTACTTTACCTTCCTTCTTAGCATATCAATCATAGTTCTTTTTAAAACTTCTTTAGTGGTTGCCCTAGTGTTTGCACTATGCATTTGCAAGTAATCTAAATCCCTTTCAACTAACACTATACCAAGTTTGTCCAATCTGCAGTCCATGGACGGCATGCAGCCCAGGATGGCTTTGAATACGGCCCAACACAAATTTGTAAACTTTCTTAAAACATTGTAGATTTTTTTTTTGCTTATTTTCTTTAGTTCATCAGCTATTATTAGTATATTTTATGTGGGACCCAAGACAATTCTTCTTCTAATGTGGCCCATAGAAGTCAAAAGATTGGATACCCCCACACTGTACTGCTTCATGGGCAGGGAGCTATATTATAATAGGGTATTCCCAATTCCTCCCTCCCTTCCCTTAACACATTGTAATTTATTTAATTTATCTGTTCTTTGGTGTCTGTCATTCATTTTGAAAAACTTTCATCCATTTTTACTTCAAATATTTTATTTGCTTCGTTCTCTCTTTCTTTTCCTTCCAATCACTCGTATGTTACATCTTTTGAAATCATCACACAGTCTTGGATATTCTGCTCCTTTTTTTTTCTCTTTGCATTGTAGTTTGGGAAATTTCTATGGACATGTCTTCAAGTTCATTGGTTCTTTCTTTGGCCATGCCCAACCTATTAATGAAGCCATTTTAAATTTTCAGAATTTCCTGTTGATTCATTTTTAAGGTTTTCCTCTCTCTGTTGACATTACCCACGTGTTCTTGCATGTTGTCTGCTTTTCCCATTCTAGCCCTTAACATATTAATTATAGTTATTTTAAATTCCTGGTCGGACAGTTCTAAAACCTGTGTCATATCTGAGTCTGGTTCTCTTGCTTTGTCTCTTCAGATTGTTTTCTTCTTGTCTCCTAGTGTGCCTTATTGAAAGCTGGACATGAATAATCAGATACTAGGAAATGAGGTAAATGTGAGGCTTTATGTTTATCTGGAGAAGTTATGCTGTGGTTGCTCTTTGCTATAGCTGTAAGTATCTGTGGCCAGTTTCCTTTAATGTCCATGTTTTTATCTCCTCTGTTGTCTTGAGTATCCCTAAGAGCACCTTCTAACATAAAGTATCTGCCTTGAAACTCTCAGCTGTGAGCCACTGATGTCCTGTACCGCTGTTGATATGGTGTAAATGTCGGGAAGGGAAAGCAGTCTATAACGCTATGATTAAATCTCAGTCTAGCAGTGGACCATTGTCCCTGGGTTGACACCTTCACAAATGTTTCTTAACCTTTTTTCTCCAGGTGAGACGGGAAGGATAGCAGGGCTTAAGTTGAGGAATTGCCCCTCTCCTAAGCTCATAAGACTCTGGTAAAGTCCTTTTCTCAAGAAGAGTAGATTTTTGTTATGGAAAAATGCTTTGAGAGTATTTCAAAATGATTACTGCTAAGTTTTCTCTTAGCTCTTCACCATGAGAACCTGGTGGGGCTTCTGGGAATAACCCATGAAAGTGTGCCACCTACAATAGCCTCCCCCCAACTCCAAGACTGTGGATCCCAGGAGTATCTCATCCTCACATTAGTCCATACTCAGCCTCCAGGAATTTGTCAAAATAACCATTTAGTATTCCCATCAGTTTATGGCTTCAGTAGCTTCTGCTCCAGGTAAGCTGATCTCGGCTCGACTCTCCATGCCAGCCTGTTCCTCCAGATTTCAGGGTGGTGGTTTGCCTTGCTACATCAAATTTCTGATAGGTCTAAGAACAGTTATGAATTTTTAGTTTGTTCATTTTTTTTTTCTTATTGTAAGAATGGGAATGACAACTTTCCAGCTCTTTACCTGGTAGAGCTCATTATAAGAAAAGCTTAAAGAAGGGAGGCTGACCCCATTCGGGAAGTTAGGCTTCCAGAATCACTATCCATTCTCCTGCTAATAGATATTTAGATTATGTCCAATTTCAAGCTTTTATGAATAAAACTGCTACAAAAATTCATGTACAAGACTTTGCATGGATGTATGATTTCATTTCTCTTGGGTAAATACCTAGAGTGGAACAGCTGGATCATTATATGGTAGCCATATATTTAACTTTCTAAGAAACTGACACACTCTTTTCCAAAGTGGTTGTATCATTTTACTTTCTTACCAACAAGGTGTAAGAGTTCTGGTTGCTCAACACCCTCACCAACACTTGCACATATAAGGAACTTTTGAAGGAAACATACAGATGGTCCCCAACTTAAAACTGTTCTACTTAACAATTTTTTGACTTCACAGTGGTGTGCAAGCGATATGCATTCAATAGAGACTGTACTTTCGAATTTTCATGTAATATAATAATCATTATCTTGGTATAAAATATTCAGAAAATATGCAGGTCCATTAAAAAAACCTGGAACATCAAGATTTTTAAATATTCAGCGATGATTCAGCAGCTTTAGTGTTCAGTAAGAGTTACTGTGTTTTTTTCCAAAAGTCATTAATTTAGCCATTTAAAACCAATATAGATAGGCCGGGCACGGTGGCTGACTCCTGTAATCCCAGCACTTTGGGAGGCCAAGGTGGGTGGATCACGAGGTCAGGAGATTGAGACCAGCCTGGCCAACATGGTGAAACCCTGTCTCTACTAGAAATACAAAAATTAGCCAGGCATGGTGGTGTGCATCTGTAATCCCAGCTACTCAGGAAGCTGAGGCAGGAAAATCACTTGAACCCAGGAGGCAGACGTAGCAGTGAGCCAAGATCACACCACTGCACTCCAGCCTGGGTGACAGAGTGAGACTCCGTCTGAAAAAAACAGAACCAATACAGATAAAAGAGAAAAAGACATCTATCATAGAGCAGGATCAAATTTTGTGACAGTCAATTAAAGGAGATAACAATTATATCATCTGAGAAAAGTCTAACTAGAGATGGGGCCTAGACACTCTCTTGCTTTTCTTCT